CCTCGGACTGGGCCAGCAAGCAAGGCTGGACAAGTTTTGGGCCCCGTCGGCCGCCGCCACCAGCTTTGCCCCTCTTGCAAGCAGCTCAGGCGAGACAGGCACGCCAGCTGGGATGGTATTGTTTCGGAAGGCTCAGGATGCTACACCGAGGTTCCTGTTGGGCCCCCTGGAGAAGTTTGTCTTCCGCGCCGAAATCGGGGCGTTGTCGCGAAATTTCCCCGGACCGCAGGCATCTTATGTATATCCTTTTTACGGCCATGTAGATCACGGATTTTCGCCAGGGAACGCGGGCTTGTTGGAAGCAGTCTCAGATCTGGCGAAGGCCTCGGGCGCGCAGCATGTTGTCGCATGGGGACTTCAATCTAACTCAGGCCCATGTGGAGTTCTCGGGGCACAGCTCGCACATGCGAGGCCAGTTGTTTGCCTCTGCTTGTCGAGTAGGAGCCTGAGCTTCAATCCACTCTGCCCCTGATCTGTTCATGGCAGAAGAGCAGCTCGCCGAGGCCGCGCGAGAAATCGACGTAGATTTCGACTGGGGCGCGAGGCCCCACTTCCCAGCGACATCAGACGTGCCGAAAGTGCCCGGCGAGGAACCCCTCCCCCCTCCTTCGACGAGGAGGGGGAGGGCGCCACTAAACCTAGCAGCGTTGACTGGGCCCGAGTCGACAACAATCTCGGAGGATCGTTGAGGGCGCCCAGCCGAAGGCAAATGCGCGCACGGGTTCTGCTGCTGCTTGCGCTCTGTGGTGAAGATGCCGCCGAACAGGAATGGGCGCCGCGCGCGCGCCCCCGCCTTGCGCGAGCAGGCGAGCGAGGGCGCGCGCCGCGGCCTGCGTTCAAACCGGCGGCCAAGCCCAGGAGGGCACGCAAGTCTCGCGGCCTCCTCCCGCCAGCGCCCTCTTGGATCATCCCCAGAGCGCGTTGGCTCATCATGCTTCCGGGGGAGGAGGGCTGTGGGGGCAAAGGACCTTGGACAAGGACTCTCCAGACCAGTCGCGCACGAGCTCATTCGGACGTTGGGGGAGGCCAAAACGCATCCTGCAATTATGCACGCTCGCGCCAAGGCCATTATCATCGAGCTCCAGGCTTTCCTGCGCCCTCGCAGAGAGCAGCTCGAGCGCGCCACATTGCGGGCGCATCAGATATGCGGGCTGGTCGCAGTTCATCGCATCTTCAAGGCCCGCGCTGAGAAGCATGCCAGCTCCGCCCCGTCAGAAACTTCGAGGTGCGAACCTTGGGCAATGGAAGGATCGGGCAGCGCAAGCTCTTGACAAATGGGGCTGAGGCTGCTCGCGAAATCATTCAGGAGCGCGTCAAGTGAGAGACTGACGCAGTGACTATCGAGGGCAAGATTACTGCCTCCATCCAGAGTGCTCTTGACACGCGCAGGGTCAAGTTCGGGAACTTGTGAGGGCCCGCCACGGAGCTTCTGCACAGGGGCACCGCCATCCACGAGCCTGTCGGGGCCCCTTCTCAAGACTCCATCAGGGGCCTCTGCAGGAGCTACAGGAAGACCTCCGCCGTTCCCCCCGGCGGCTTTCGCACGAGGCACCTCAACATGCCCGCTGACCAGGCTTCCGAGGCCTTCGCAAGGGCCATTTACACTTCGGAGGCCACTGGAGAGCTAGTCAGCGAGTCTGGAAACTCCCATGGGTTTGGGCGGCCCCCCATAGGAAGGTCGCTGGGGGGCGCTGACCCATGGGCACATCTCCTATGACGCGCGGGTTGATCGGCCAGCCGCGCATCGCCGTCGCGCCGGATTGGCTTGCCCGGCGCGGCCAGGCCTGGTTCTCGTGCGGCGCTGGCCGCTCGCAGTGGGCGCTGCGCGGCAGCAGAGTCTCGGACGCGAAAGGAGCCGTCTCGGGAGGGGGGGGTCCTCGGCCAGGATCTCCTGGGACATCCAGGGGGCCGCACGTGAACCCTACCCCTGCCCCCCACGATTTCTGAGGGGGAGGGTGGGGTTCGCTTCGTTCGGGAGCTCTCGAGCGAAGTGACCCCCCCCCCCCTCAGAAATCGTGAGGGGGGTAGGGGTAGGGTTCGCATGTGGCCCCCTAGCATCGGTGCTTTCTTTGACCTAGTTCCAGCGCGGGGAGCCCGTGGGCCGCGCCTCGTAGCTCGCTCTCCCCGAGCATCGGCTCGCCTTTCCCCTCGCGGGCTGCGGCTCCCGGAGGCGCGAAGCATGGAAGGGAGGCGCGGCGGGCCCGCTTGTTGCCACCAACGGCACTGTTTGCGGGCCCGTCGTCCTGCAGCCTCGATGCGCGCGCTTACTGCCACCCTCGTAGACCAAAAAGTAGATACTGGTAGTGTCTATCTTTGGTGCGCGCCTGCTATGGCGAAGCCGCAACGCATCTGAGTCGGAGCGCCCGAAACGCGAGGTTGCTCCCATGAGGAACCGGTATACCGGGTCCTCATGGGAGCAACCTCGCCGCACGCTGCCGTTTCCTCCGATCTCGAATTGGGCGACCTGCCCACGACTTGCCGCGTGGCGGCGCGGAGAGTGCCACGTCTGGCCTCGGCTGCGGCCAAGAAGCTTGCGCGCCTCGTCAAAGTCGACCTCGAGGCTAGGTTCGCGAAGAACGAGGGGTCGGCCGCTGCGTCGCCCGCGTCGTTAGCTCGTGTTCTCGCGGCAGCTCTAAACAGAGCTGGCGGCGAGCTCCCGGCCACCACCACTCGTCTCGGGTGCGGTTGCATCGCGAGGAAATTGCTCGGCAGGCAGGTCAACGCCGCCAAGCGAAGCAGTGGATTCAGAACGGTCCGATCCCGCGCCCGATGGCCGCGCAGACTCACGGCCAGCGCAGGCCAGAAGTGTCGGACAACCGTTGCCACTGCTCTGCCTCCTGCCGGGGCTTTTGGTGCAGGCGGTTGGGCTCGGCCACGAAGCCCGCAGTCAGCGCCATTCCGCGCGGGCCGCCCACGTGATACCTCCGGCTTCGCCAAGACATCCCGCGGCTCGGCTTTCGCCGCTACGGGGCCCAGGGCCGACCGCTGGGCCCTCGGGCCCGCTGCCCGACGGGCGCCAGAAGTCTGGAGCATCCTTGGGGGGGAGGCGTCCCAATCCTGTGACCGGTGCGCTTTGGGGGCCCAACCTCCTCCTCCGCCTCCTCCTCCTCCTCCTCCTCCTCCTCCTTCTCCTCCTCCTCCTTCTCCTCCTCCTCCTCCCTGTCCTCCTCCTCCTCCTCCTCCTCCTCCTCCTCCTCCTCCTCCTCCTCCTCCTCCTCCTCCTCCTCCTGAGATGTGCCACAGAACCCATGCCGCAGGCAACAGTGAGTGCTCCGCTGCGCGAGGGCCGCTCGGCGCAGCCGCGCACGCCCTGCCGCGAGCGGCCCGGGAGCCCGCCGCAGCTGCGAGGCCATCAGTCTGCACGCCCGAAATGGGTATTGAAAGAATGGGTACAATGCCCAACAGCGGATCTTGTTCATTTTGAACAGGGCTCGCTGTCCACGCCGCCGCGGCCTGTGTCCATTCGAGACAAGAGGCCGCCTGCCCAACAGCGGCCGCTGTTGGTTTGGGACAACATTTGCTGTTGGGCATTGTATCCATTTTTTCGGTACCCATTTCGGGCGTCCAAAATCAGGCCCACGGACGCATCGCCGATCCTCTTCGCCGACAATGCTTCGCCAAGGCAGTGGGAAGTTCACGCGGCCAGAAGCATGGGGGGGGGCCCAACCCACGCCCAGGGTTTGTTGCGACGTCGCCTGGCCCCCTGCTGTCTCCCAGGAGCGCAGAGTGGACCCCATCAGTGCATAGCTGCACTTCCAACCCAGGCGGTTCAGGCATGGTGGACGGAAGACAAGAAGTGGCCCAGCAGCTTGGACAGAACGTTCCCCACGTTCGCTCCGCGCGTCAGGAAGTTTAGGGGCACCATGAATCATGGGCTTCATAGCTGCCAGCACCCAGAGGCAGCCACCCCCAAGCTTGAGTTTTTGAAGCCAGGCGTTGTGCAAGCCGCGCCCCACGCGCCAGAGCGCAGCCCGCTGCTCTGCTTCGGGGCCATCGAGCTCCCAGGCGAGCAGCGCGGCGATTTCTCGCTGCCATTGGCGACGCACATTGTCGAATTCAAGCGACACGACGGCAAGCCAGAGGCAGTCCACGATTTCGGAGGGCCCACGGGGATGAACGGGGGGTGGCTGCGAATTGCGCAACTGTCGCCACCCTCGTGGGCTCCTGGGAGGCCCAGCGCAGAGGATTTGTAATACCCAGCCGAGATCTCGCGGCTCCCTGGGGGCTGCGAGTTGCGTGGAAGGCCCAGCGGAGTGGAGTTGTAAACACACCCAGCCGAGACCTTGCGGCTCCATGGGGGGGTGCGAACTGCGCAACTGTCGCCGCTTCCGTGCGCTCCTGCGGGTCCTTTAGCGTGTTCGTTTCTATTGATCGGTCCTGTGTGTCGTCGCCACACGTGTAGACAGGGCCGGGTGCGCCGCAGGCCATTGGATGCGCTCGTCCCCTGGCCTCTGTGTCTTGCGCCACTGGCGCGCGCGCGCGCGCGGCCAGGGCCGAGCCACTTGCCCGCCGCGCTGTCCGACGAGTCTCGCGGGACCCTATCGCCCCAGGGAGGTCGCTCACAGCGCGCGACCTCCGCCGAGGGTCTCGCCCTCCAGAGCGGCTCACCTCTGCGCTCTGCGCCGCCGCCGCTCTCCCTTGGCACGCGCGCGGCGTGCCGGACTCGCCGCTGTGCGCCGCGCGCAGCGGCCAGCGTCCGCTCGTGTTGCGCTCGGCCTCCGCCGCCGTGGAGTCACACAGTGGAGGCCCATGCCAAGACACACCCTGCTTGCCTCCAGGGTGCCCTGGGTTTCTTGGGTTTCGATGGTTCTGCAATGGAAGGCGTGGCGCTCCCGCACCAAAAAGCCACGCACGTCCTGGGGTCTCAGGGTCGGGTTTCTTGTGGAAGGCTTCTTGTGGACCGGCCTCCGCTGCAGCGCGGCGCAGGTGACAGGCCAGAGGCTATTCGCCCCTGGCCTCGCGGGGGGCGGGGGGTGGAAGCCCTCCCCCTGCGGCGGCAGGAGGCAGATCTTGGCCTGGACGACTTCGCCGTGTGCCAGAGCAGCCTCGAGCAGGTCTTCAACGACTTCGCGCGGCAGGCCGGCGAGACCCGCGAGTCCGCGTGAGGAAGCAGGCGTGCGGCCGCCGATCCCGCGGTGCCCCGCCGAGCGCACCGTGCGCGCAGGAATGGCGCGGGCCGCAAGGGGCAATACGTTCCCCTCCTGGTTCGAGATTCGAAGTTTTCGGGCGTCTTCGTCGGTTCTCGGCCCGTCTCGGTCTTCGGTCCGTTGGTTTTCGTCGGAGGTCGGTTCTCGTCCGTCCTCGGCGGGAGGTGCCTCTTGCGTTTTCGTCTGCTCTTGGCGGTTTTCCGGCTTCGGGATGCCTTCCCACAGATGCGCCTCGCCGAGAGCTCTCCGGGGGTGCCAGGATCGTCCCGACCGGCCGCCGGAGACCCGAGCCGTGCCCCGCAGGCCTCGCCTCGCGTCGCGAAGCAGTCACGGCGGGAGGTTTTGGCCCGTCTCGGCCTCCGGGAGCCCTCGCCGGGCCGTCTCGGTTTCTGGACGTTCCCGACGGCTTTTCTAATTCAGCCGCGTATCTTTGCATTACATCACGTGTTAAGTGTGTTTTCTTTATTGTGTCGCCCATTTCTTTTCAACGGTATATATATATATATATATATGTTTGTTTGTTTATTTGGTTAGTCTCATCCTTTTTGGCTCAATGTTTCGCTAATGTTCTGCCCCCGCCGTGAGCGGGCGATCGCTCTTTACCCAGACTAATCAGAAAGCACGCAGTGGTTCTAGCGAACTACTCCCAGAGCGTCACTGCAACGCTGCTCTGGAAGCTACCCCCAAACGCCTCAGACTCAGGCGTAATCCTTGCAAGCCTTCCCGAACGCCACCAGGCGGTCCTCCTTCTTGGTCACGAACCAGTACTGGTACTCACGAACGTACTGCATCACATCAGATCGACGAACGTGTCGAGGTTCGCCCATTGCTTGTAGTTGCCGAAGAAGCCGTCCATGTATTGCGTCCCTCCCCATACCTTCTTCCCGTCGATATTGAACATCTTCGTCCACTCTTCCTTCCCATGAACGACGGCGATCTGCTTCGCTCGATTGCCGAAGATCTTCCTCTTGTTGACAAGGGAATCGTACGTAGCAGCGGAGTCGCTGGAAAGAATGCCAGACTTGAAGTGCTTAGTCAAGAACTTCTTCCCCTCTGGGATGGACAGAGCTGGCGGGCCAGGTGGCACCAACCTCTTGCCGTCGAACTTGATTGTCCCCCCGCTCATCGTCTTCTGCGACCCCTTGATCCTGTACCTCTGCTTCCTGATGGGCAGCTGCTCGATCACGATGTTACGGGACCCGCGAACCAGCAAAGCTATGATGCGCGTGTACGAGAACGCGGGCGCTCCTTTCTTGGGGGGCGGGCCTGCGCTGCCACTCGCCACGGACGCTTCGTCGACCTCCACGACGATGCCCTTCTATCTGGAGCGTTACGCCCCGCCTTCTCTCCCGTCAACTGTAGTTTGGGGGCGGTGGTAACTTAAAATACTCCGTGCAATAGCTGCGCTTCATCTGTGCTTCACATTCACCACGGGCACACGACGCAAGTGGGACAAATGAGGAAGGGGGACAACGGAGGGGAAGGAAGATAACGAGGAAGAAGGGAGGAGGAGGAGGGATGACTGGAACAGGGCACGGTGTGAACTACATGGTCGCACCCCCCGAAGATCTACCTTTTGGCGGGTTCTGAGATGAACCTTCGAGTTGTCTGTCTCTCCTCGCCGCTTCCTCGCCCCTTCCTCGCCAGGATTGTCCTCGCCCCGCCTTCGCCTGCAAGCTCCCGCTAACCTGGCCAGGCGTTTTTTTTTCTGGTCTGGGAGCTCACAGAACCTGGCCAGGCGTCGTTTTTCTGGTTTTTCTGGTCTGGGAGCCCGCAAAACCTGGCCAGGCGTTGGTTTTTCTGGCTTTTCTGGTCTGAGGGCTCAGAAAACCTGGCCAGGCGTTTTTTTTTTTTTTTTTCTGGTCTGACGGCAGTAGTTCGCAAGCCCCCAACTTCCAGGCCAGGTTTTGTGGGCTCCCTGACAAGAAAAAACCAGAAAAACCAACGCCTGGCCACGTTTTCTGAGCCCCCAGACCAGAAAAACCAGAAAAACCAACGCCTGGCCAGGTTTTCTGAGCTCCCAGACAACAAAAACCAGAAAAAACCAACGCCTGGCCAGGTTTTCTGAGCTCCCAAACCAGAAAAACCAGAAACAACCAACGCCTGGCCAGGTTTTCTGAGCTCCCAGACCAGAAAAAACAGAAAAACCAACGCCTGGCTAAGTTTTCTAAGCCCCCAGGAGGAGGAGGAACGGGAGAAGGAGGAGGACGAGAGAGAGAGAGAGAGAGAGAGAGACAGAGAGAGAGAGAGAGACAGAGAGAGAGAGAGAAGAGACAGAGACAGAGAGATAGAGGGATAACGGAAAAAAGGGTGGGGCACCGAGGTTGAAGGAGGGAGATCGAAGGATGGTCTTGGGCAAACCACCGCGGCTGTGGGCAACGATGTTCAGCGAAGCCTTTCAAAACGATCGGTCTCAAGACAACACAAAAACGACGGGAACGTTCAGAAACCGAGACGCCCTCGCGGGGCCCCAGGGGCCCTCCAGGGAACTTCCTGGGGAAAGGGCTGGGACGTCGGCTGGGGGGGGCGCGCATTGAATCTGGAACGCCCGACATGGGTACCGAAAGAATGGGTACAATGCCCAACAGCAGTTCCTGTTCATTTTGAACAGGACTCGCTGTCCGCGCCGCCGTGGCCTGTGCCCATTCGAGACAGAAGGCCGCCTGCCAAACAGCGGCTGCTGTTGGTTTGGGACAACATTTGTTGTTGGGCATTGTACCCATTCTTTCGGTACCCATTTCGGGCGTCCAAATTGAAGAAACAGCACGTCGCATGTCTGGGCTGCGCTCTTGGATGTGTCGGGGCCTTGTTCGATCGGGCCCAGTTGCCTTCGCCATCGAGTGGTCCCCGGCGTCAGAGAGCACTTCTGCCATTCGTGGACGAATGCCAGTGGTTGCCGCACCTTGCAGCGCATCAGGGCCCATCTCGAATCAGGGCTCGGGGCTGGACGCGCTCTTCGAGGAATGGCGGGGCGACACCCGATCTCTAGGAGGGGCGGCGCAATTGCGCGCTAAGACGCGCTATTGCGCTGACCCCTTACCTACGGGCCGAGAGCCGCGCAAAAGGTGCGGCGGCGAGGAAGGACGGTGTCCATACTTGACCAGCCGCGCATGAGACGCAGCTGCGAGGAAAGGCGTTGCCTGTTTGGGAAGTAGTGGAGGGCGTCGTCCATACTTCGCTGCCCGCAGAGTCCAGCGTTTTTTTTTCTGAGCCGTTTCAGCCACGGCAATTTTCTTTGCATGTCCATTCGCTCATTCGCCTGGGCGATCCAGTGCACAGGGCGCCCAAGAGGCGCACAAGGCGCCCAAGAGGCGCCCACGGGCGGTTGAACCAGGGGGGCATGATCAGTGAAGTTGAGACGATGAAGCTGGCGCGGCCTCAGTGATGTGTTCTCTGGAGAGCTGAGACGACGGAAAGCCAGATGTGCGAGTGCTGTATGGTTGGCCTGGCCGACGGCCCCACGGAGTCCACTTCCGTTGAGACCGCGTGCGCGGCTCCGGCTGAGGATGACTTCTCGGGGCAGGGCCCCCCCCCCCCCCCCCCCCCCAAGCGGCCTGCCGACCACGCTGCTCCCCTGCTGATCTGGCCCGCGGCCCTCCTGGAGCCCTCGGCCCCCTCCCGGCTGGGATGCCTCGCCTTACAGTTGAGTCGGGCGTGTCCCTCCACCGGAGGAGTATTCAGGAATATGTTTTGACAAAAGAAGCCAGGGGACGATCTTTCTACCATGTTTGGCTATTTTGGGGCATGTTTTGGCGATTTTCTATTGCGAAGGCCTTACGGCCGGTGCCGCCGACCCTGGAGGGTGACCCATGCGTTCTCGTATGTGGCGGGGGGGGCCTCTTGGGGCTTCCTGGGGGCCTCTTGGGGGTCTCGTGGTGGCCTCTTGGGGCCTCTTGGGGACTTCCTAGAGCCTCTTGGGGCGTCCTGGGAGCCTCTCGGGGCTGAAGGGTCGAAATGTCCGTTCGGGTGAACCATCTGGGCAATCTCTTGGAGCCGTCTTGGGGGTCTGTTGGGCGCGGCTCGGGCGTGGCTCGGGCGCGGCTCGGGCGCGGTCCGAGCGCGGCTCGGGCGCGGCTCGGGCGCGGCTCGGCGGCGGCTCGGGCGGCTCGGGCGCGGCCCCGAAACAATAAAGAATCCTTACGTGCAGTACTTGCGGATGGGGCGTCGTATCTGAGTGGCGCCCCCCCCCCGGGACCCCCCCGCTACCCCCCCCCCCCTCCCGGCGGGGGAGGGATCAAAGGGAAGGGGCTTCCCTTCGACTCAAATACGACGTTGCTGAAGTTCATTTGGGCTGGCGCGCTTGAGCAGGGGCCCCTGCTGGGAAAGAGGACGGGAGTGGCGACGGGCCCACGGAAAGGGAGGCGCAAGGAAGGGGGACGACAGAGACGACGACCAACGAACAACGGGGATGACGTCTCGAACGGAAAAGCCCCTCACACACGCCGACAGGGTCGGCGGATTTTTCACCCAAAACCCGCCTGTCGGGGGACATGCCCGACCTAGCCTTACAGTTGGACCGAGGTCTAAGATCCACGTTGGTGCCCTAGTGTTCTTCATATGTGTTGGATGCTTTTGTGCATCCTGGGGAGGGTATGCTTGGATGTTCCGATGCTCTGTGTGCTTGGGACGACGGAGGGCCTCGTGTTCATGAGAGATGTTATTCTGGCCTGGGTCCCGCTGTATATCATATGCCGGGGGGCCGGGGGGCTGGGGCTTGGGCCGGGCCTCACCAGGGTAGCCGCCCAAAACACTTTCCGGGGAGCACGGGTAGGCGACGAGAGCGGCGCAACAGGGCCCAAGATGCCCAAAGATGGTCTCCAGAAGGCCCAAGAGGCCCACAAGAGTCCTAAGAATGCTCCAATATGCTCCCTAACAGCGCCCCCAGGTGGCCAAAATTGGTGCATTGCCGAAGGAAAATGTATTGTTTTAGCGTGGCCCCAGAGGCCCCCAAGATCGCCCGAAGACAGCCAAAGGGGCCCCCAGGAGGCTCCAAGACGGCCCCAGAGAGCTCCACGATGGTCCAAGAGGTGCCCAAGACGGCCCAAGAGGGCCCCAAGAGAGGCCCAAGAGTAGCCCTCCGCCCCGAGTGGATCCCCGAGGCGGCCAGCAGGCCCCCAAGAGGCCCCAGGGACCCCCAAAGAGGCCCCAAGAGGCCTCCAAACAGCCCCCAAGAGGCCCCGAGAAGCTTCAAAACTTGCTCCGACAGTCGCCCGAGAAGCATGCCAATAGACCCCTCATCACGGGTATCCAAGAAGCCTGTGGCCCAAAACTCAGGCACGGTGGCTGTGTGGGCCGAAGGCCATCGATGAGCAAACAAGTGGCCTGGCGACGGACCCATCCCTATGCAGTCGCGTGTAGCACAGGGCGCGGCCCTCCCTTCATAGATTGCGCGCCGCTGGACGGAGCTGATAGCGTGGCTGCTGCGGAGCAGCAGGCACAGGCGAGCGGATCTCCGTGCAGGGCACGATCCGCGTGAAGGGCGTGCCGAATATTCTAGGCACCTTCGCGCGAACCCGCTCACTGAGGCCGCAGGTGGAGCTCCTCGTGGGGCACGACCCGTGTGAGGCATGTGCCAAAACGGACGGGGGGCGCCACGCGAAGTTGCCCACTGGTGTCATAGGTGGCGCTCGTGCCAGGGCACGATTCGCATGAACAGCGTGCCGACGTGGGCGGAGGGACGATTTGCAAGCCTCGTCTCTGGGTCTGTGGGTGCTGTGCTCCCTGTGGGGCACGTTCCGCGTGAGAGGTGTGCCGCAGTGGGCGGGGGGTGGGCGCTAGGCAAACCTTGCCTCTGGGGGATCAGTGTGAGAGGTGTGCCGAAGTGGGCGGGGGGGACGATGCGAACCTTGTCTCTGGGGCGGTAGGTGGAGCTCCCTGCAGGGCACGATCCGTGTGAGAGGTGTGCCGACGTGAGTGGGGCGACGATATGCGAAGTTTCCTTTGAAGTGCAGTTACCTGTGGGGCAGCACTGTCCGCGTGGGGGGTGCGCCGCTATGCAATGGGGCCATAGGTGGAGCTCCCTGTGGGGCACGATCCTTGTGAGGACTGTGCCAAGATGGATAGGGGGCCGCAGGTAGAGCTCCTTGAGGGCATGATCCGTCTGAAGGATGTACCGAAATAAGCTGGGAGACGCCATTCAGATATGGATGCCCACTATAGCGCAGGTGTTCCCACGTGATGATCGTGGTGGGATGGCGTCCGTACCCATCCGCTGATTGATTTGACGCTGGCTTTGCCTTGGCTATAAC